GCTTGAGGTATTTGGCCAATCACAACGCACTGATAGCTGGCCAATCAGAGCACACCTCGCTTTTCAGACCGATGAGCTTTGTAAAAATCTACGCGTTTCAGAAAGGCGGGGCCTAGAGGAGAAACAATAATGTTACAGTATGTGGAAAATAATGTGTTTTTTGAACCTTAAACCGCATAAACACATTTCATTACACCAAATACACAAAATAATGTTCTTTTTAGCAACATCATATGAACCCTTTAAAAAAATTCCAAATATGTCTTTTGATCAATTTGGACAGCTTTAAAAACAGTAAAATTAGATACGATTTAGTGCAACATTTTGAATGGATTTCATTCCCTTACAACCTGTTCATCCATGCCAAATCCAATACGCCATCCAAGCTGAGAGGGACAATATTCAGAACAACGGTTCATCAATTGGGAATTTCAATGGCAGATTCATAACTTAAACTTGGTCCTCTGTAATACTGAACATATGCTTGATATAAACGCATACATGAACACACGTGTACATGCTGTTCAAAGTCACACACACACTCACACACATGTAGGTGAGAATGAACATAAATATGCAGCACATATACACAGACAAAAAGGGAGGGGGATATAGTGATAAAGAGAGAGAGATAGAAGAACTACAGATGTTAAATAACACCAATGTCAAACAAGAAACAAAACGTATTAGACAAGTATGTCATGGTTTCCCACCACAAACAGCCTCAAAACCTTTTCCTGGGTCATAAATGTGCTATGATGTCATATCTTAGGTATTTGGGTAGAGAAAATGCTTTGGTACCTTTGGTTGCAGGTTTGGATGGAGCAGCACGTAACCGTTAGGATCAATTGCGAAATAATATCCATTAGGACCAATCTGAAATGAAATAAGAGGAGAACAGTGAGGACACCTCGAAAAAGAAGACCACCATCAAACCCAAATCCCGGCTTGGACCGAATGGGCCTGGTTCCTCCGAGATGTGGCGGTTAATCCCTCACTAGCGGGGTACTGTCTAATATCCCCTGAGAACACCGGCCCGAGCTGTCAATCACCCCCGAGCACTTAGCGTTAATCAAATGTGTCGGTTCATCTGGAAACATTCCTCTGAGCTTAACAGAAAATCACAACCATTTACAAATCAAATGTAAGTACAAACAGATGTAATGTACAAGGGCTTACGTCCTCTTAAGAGCGATCTTACTGTAAGGAGGCGAAACCGCAAGATGGCAGACCGCAGAACAATAGCGCATTTATCTTATGCGTGCCGTGTTATTCTTATTACAGAGACTCAAAGAGTCCGCAAAGAAAACATCTAACACATGAGCTTAGCTTTGTTCTCTTATAAATTGAATTATGTAGCGTTCAAGGAATAGTTCACCCTAAATGAAAACTCGTCGCCGTTTACGCGCCCTCACGTCGTCCCAAAACCAGATTTTCTTTCTTCTCAAGGTTTTTTCCTCATGCAATGAAAGCAAATAGGGCTGTCAAGCACCAAATCTGAGAATAAAGTACCATAAAAGCACCCTAAAATGAGTGCATGTAACTCAGGCGCTATACACTATGTCTTTTGAAGCCATACAATTCTTGCCTGCCTCGTCTTTGACATCAAACTGGTGCGACTCGACTGACACTTCAGATTTTATTCTACACTGCTGTTCAAAAGTTTGCGGTTGGTAAGATTTTTAATGTTTTTCAAAGTCTCTTATGTTCACCAAGGATGCATTTATTTGATCAAAACTGTGAAATATTATTACGATTTAAAAATAACTGTTTTATAATTTAACATATCTTAAAAAGTAATTTATTCCTGTGATGCAAAGCTGAATTTTCAGCAGCCATTACTCCAGTCTTCAGTGTCACTTGATCCTTCAGAAATCATTCTTATATGCTGATTTGGTGCCCAAAAAACATTTATTACTATGAAAATTATGAAAATAGTTGTACTTTTTCCCCCCAGGATTCTTTAATGAATAGAATATTCAGCAGAACAGCATTTATTTCAAAATAAAAATATTTTGTAACACTATAAATATTTTTGTTACTTTTGATCAACTTAATATGGAGGCCCATTACAGCTACTGAATAAAAAAAAAAAAAGGTAACTGTGACTTTTTATCTCACAATTCTGACTTTTTTTCTTGCAATTGAGAGTATATATCACGCAATTTTGACTTTATTTCTCTGAGAAATAATGTCGCAATTCTGAAAAGAATTAAAGTCAGAATTGCGAGATAAAAAGTTGCAATTGCGAGTAAAAAGTCAGAATTGTGTATACAAATTTACAATTGCGATAAAAAGTCAGGATTGAGAGATAAAACGTCGCAATTACCTTTCAAAAAAAAAAATTTATTCAGTGGCGGAAACGGGCTTCCATAATGTGTCCTTCCTGAATAAAAGTAACTTCTTTCAAAAAACCTTACAGAGCTCAAACGTTTGAACAGCAGTGTACGTGAAGACTGCATGCAAATTAACACTGAAATTTCCACTTTAAAAAAAAAAAATTCACCACTTTTGTATGATTATTTTATGATACTTTTTTGTTATTTTGGAGCTTGCCATTCACATTTTTTTTTGTCAAAAAACAAAACAAACAAACGTGTGAACATTCATCATATCATCTTTTTTGTTTCACAGAAGAAAAGCGGATTTGGACAATTTGGGTTTGAAATGAATGAAGGGTGAGTACATAATGACGGAATATTCATTTTAGGTCAACTATTCTTTTTACTTTCATTTATTTTGTATTTTTTTATTAGACTGGAATACAAACCGCATGAAATGCTGAATATATGCGAGTTGAAATAGTATGTGTTTGTGGTACTCACTGTGAAGCGGGGCGTCAATCTTTTAATATCATCGAGAGACACATCCACCCCCATCACTCCTAAAATCAACTGGTTCTGATGCTAAAAGAGAGATCAAAAAACACAAAGTTTCCACTCTGACATCCAATGGACTGACATTTACAAACAAATATGAGGCAAAACTACACCTGGAAAGCATAAAACCTTAAAATGAGATTTCACAACAACACAAACTGTTGCATTTGGGCAAAAATAACCGCCATGAAATTACGTGAAGGTGTAGAGCAACACATCTAAACGGCCTCAATGCTCGTCATCCATACTGGAAATGGATATTAACCTAATCGAAGAAGCCAGTGACACAGTTGGCGAGTGGAAAGTAACGGCAGCTTTCAGAGGGTCAAGCGGTTTAGTAGACAAACAACGTATGAATCCTTTGACCCCCAACTGGGAAACTTTAGGATAAGATACTGTATTTATTTTCCATATCTGCTACTTTTGTAGTGTTCCTGAGAAGGTCACTGTCCACATGGTTAATACATTCAAGAGATAATAAGGTTTACACGTTTGCGTCAGTAGTAGCTTTATCCCCATTAAACGTGACAAAAATAGCAGTTTGTTCCAAGAATTGGGCTATTATTAGAGTATTGGGCCTGTTAATGACATCTGGTGTTCTGGTCTGTGTTCATTCGAACGCTTTATTCCCGCTTTTGGGGCTCAGTTTGAAACATTGTTCTTGTTTGTGCACTTAAGGACCTGTGTTCATTTAAAACGATATGTACAGAGTTTTTTTTTTTTTTTTATGTTACAACGTGTTCTCATATCAGAAATAATCTTTGCATTTTCTATAAAGGCTGCTGTTAATGTAGAGAGAATGTAAACCTTTTACAGTACATATATAGAATCAAATTTATACATACTTTTTCAGGTTTTACATTCATATTTATACAAAATGAACCATATAACAAGTACTATATACATACAGTTGAAATGTCTTGGGTCAGTAAGATTAATTTAAAGAAATTAATACTTATTCAGCAAAAAGAATCAAAATTAATAATAAAAAAATAAAATAAATAAATAAATTGTATATAAAAAAATAGATAAATAATAACACCAAATCAACATATTGGAATAATTTCAGAAGGATCATGTGGCACAGAAGATTGGAATAATGACTACTGAAAATTCAGCTTTGCCATCACAGGAACAAATTACTTTTTAAAATATATCATAATAAAAAACTATGGAAGCCCGTTTCTGTCACTGAATAGATACATTTAAAAAAGGTAATTGTGACTTTTTATCTCACAATTCTGACTTTTTTTCACATTTCTGACTTTTCTGACTTTGCGTGATATAAACTCACAATTCTGATGTTTTTTCTTGTAAAAACGCAAAAGTCAGAATTGTGAGATAAACTCGCAACTCTGTGAACACAGACTTTTCTCCCCTCAGAATTGACTTTATAACTAGCAATTGTGAGAATTGTGAGTGAGAAAAAACGTCACAGTTGCAAGAAAAAAAAAAGTCTGAATTGTGAGATAAAAACTTGCAATTATCTTTTTTATTTGTATTCAGTGGTGGAAAAGGGCTTCCATAGAAAAAATAGTTATTTTAAATTGTAAAAATATTTCACAATATTACTGTTTTTACTGTATTTTTCATCAAACAAGTGGGCAATATAATAGACTTCTTTCAAAAACGTAGAAAAAAAAATCTCACCAACCTTAAACACTTGAATGGTAGTTTATGTGGATTTAATATATATAATTTATGTATAAACTGATGATCAAGATTTTATAAAATTTTGTCCTGTTTGGTCACCCGTTTTACTCTGAAGTAGCTGAAATGTTTAGATTTTTCAGTCATTACATGATTCCCATTCCACAGCCTTAATTATTTCACTTTCATACAAATGTTACGTCCCTTTTGTTCTACTTCTGTGTTTTCTTTTGTTTGGGAAGTGTTTGTGTGTGTCTTCTGTCCAGGAAGAAGCTGATTGGTTCCTGCAGTCTAATTGGTGCCACGCCCTGCCTGATCAGCTGACTTCTTTCTGCCTATAAGAGACTCCGTCATCACTTCCTGCTTCAGCTTTTGTGCTCTCTTGCTGT